CATTTGCAAGATATTCAACGTTGGTAAATCTTTCAAAAGGAATCCATTCGAATACTTTATAATTAATTTTGTTGCATTCTTTTATTAGATTGTCGATATCTTTATCTCCGCTATTGTCATAAACTCGTTTGTGATATTTGAAACAGTGATTGCATCTCTCATTTTCTTGACAAACAGTACATTTACTACAATCATGAGTATTACACTCGTTGCAGTATCTATTCTCTTGACAATAGAAGCATTCATTACAATTATGAGTATTTGATTCCATCTGTGAATTCACTTTGTATTTGTGAAGTTCACCATAGAATGTCAAGTAATCGTTTGTAACTAGATTCTTAGTCATTCCATAGTATGCTATCAAGTTGCCGTAAACATCGCCAGTCTGAATCTATTTTGAAAAATTTGATTGTATTAGAAAATAAAAACAACTTTTACGTTAGAAAACTTTCATTTTTTACTCGTCTATAAATTCTTGAGTAATTTGCTCTGAATTGTGTAATGAATTCAACACATCTGCTTTTCGTTTAAATTTATTTTCTTTATGATCCCATATACGTAGTGGTCCATCCAACCAGGTTGCTTTATAAGTTAACTCAAAACCTCCTTTTGCAAGATATTCAAAGTCAGTAAATCTTTCAAAAGGAATCCATTCAAATATATTTACATATTTATAATTAATTTTGTTGCATGCTTTTATTAGATGGTCGATATCATCATCTTCGCTAGACAATTCATCGTTATAAATTCGTTTGTGATATTTGAAACAGTCAAAGCAGAACTCATTTTCTTGACAATCATTACATTTACTAAAATTATGAGTATTGTGAACTAAACACTCATCACAAGATCTATTCATTTGACATATAGTACATTTACCACGATGACTAGTATTTGATTCCATCTGTGAGTTCAGTGAATAAAATGCGTGAGTTGGTTGAAATGATTAAAAAAAAGAGATAATATAGTTATGTGTGTATGTAGCGGTGGGGATTAAAACTCTTTTATTACAATTTGTGCAGTTTTTTATTGTTTAGAGCATTAGAAAGATGCATACATGTATTACATGTACATGTAATCAAACATCAAACCATGTACATGTACATGTAGTTTGTGCATACGTATTTCATACCAAATATTCACGCTAATAATAACAAAGACGACCGATTTATTGACTTTACATTCAAACAAGTTGGCCAAATTTTATGAAAAGAGAAATTATTGTGATATTTCGATCATTGTTGGTTGAAAAAGAATTAGACCTTTCCCGCACATTCGTCTATTTTAATGGCGGAATCCCAATATTTCGCCGTAGCACTGTCACAGGTAGGTTTTATATTTTTTGAGATATGATTTTTTTGCTTAATTCATAAAGAAAGATCATTATGATGTAAAGTTTGCTTTGTTATGCTTGTACTAACATCAATTTTATCATCAATGTTTATGAAAAAAACTATCATTCAAAATTAGATATATAATATTTTACACTTCATGATTATTTCTTATAATACAAAATAGAAATAGAATGTAGGATCATTATGAATAATAATGATGAATTATTAGACTATCTTTATGAAAAATACATGCTAACTGAAGAGTCAGCCAAAGATTTAAGGAAAAGAAGGATCTTTAAGAAAGGTTTAAATTTGGAATCTTTTTTCAACAGGAATGTGTGTCATAATAATTTTAATTATACAAGATAAAAGAGTGAATTCATAAGTGTATTTTATTTATAGAGGTGTGTTTTGTTTTGTTGTATGTTTTTTATCCATTTATATATTTATTTTGAGGGGGGAAACAATCAAAAGAAATGCATCATCAGTTTGGTATAACAAAGTCCAAGTTAAGCAAAGTGGTGGTGTTATATTTTATTCTTTAAATTGCATGTATTTATTTATGCTTTTAACTATATATGGACTAAATTTCATTTACCTGTGGCGTCTATATTGCTAAAATTCGCTGATTCGTTTTTTTATCCTAGTGATGCATTACTTTTGAGCGCCACTGTAGGTAACTCCACCGTAAGTGAAAGTAACGACAGCGTCAGTTTTGCATGGGACTAAGTATTCGCCTTGTTGAAGAAACGGCACCTTTTATTGCTCTGTGAATAGCATCAACGTCAGCGAGAAGAGTATATCAATGGTGGCAAACTTTTTGCTGAATTTAAGAGGTTTGCCGTTAACGTTAACGTTAGCATCATCTAAAGCGATTTCCTAACATCATTCACCAGTTTATTATATTTGAGTTGGCTATTAAATTTTAAGGAGTCAACACTACCAAGAGTTAATTGACTGTCGCTGTCATCTTTTTGTTGTCCGAGGAAGAAACCAAATACTGAATCTTTAACTGCATTTTGGGTATAAGCTGAGCTAAAGGTGTTTTGAATTTTGTGAGCTTAATTTATCAAGACCCATTCCGAGTATTCCATCAGTTTCATCTGTCTTAAAGCAATCTGATATTTTTTTCGAAAGTCCAATGTGTTGCACCGACGATTGAGATATCATCTACTGCAATAATTCCAGAAATTTCACCAGTTACCAGATTTGATTTCAAATGGTTTATTATGTGTTTTGCAAGCTGCATCAGTACATTCTTGTGATGGCACCCAAAGATGAACCAGTATCGAAAATTACAGTTGGTCCATGATATCCCTCATCTTTGAGAGGATCTTCGACAGCTCCTCCTTTGCCTATATTATCAGGCTGATTACGGAATTATCAGAATTGTCTGAATTGTCAGATTGACCATTGTCAAGTTTGTCATTATCTTGTGTTTTCCTTTTTCTCTTTGCCATTGCTATCATAGTCTCTATTACTACTATTAATCTTAAAATAGAATTAATGATGAAAGTTTCGGTGAGGAAGCATCAAATTCTGGATGCAGCTTCTAATTTTATGGTTGCTTCTTGACCAAATAGACCGTGTTGAAATATTTTAATAACGATAGTGCATAATTTTACTGATCTTTAATTTTTGAGCAAAGTATAAATAATCAGCAAATCATTTTTCTTCAATTCAACTTTGAGTACGGATGGTTGCGAAATTCGGGAGTGTGGATCGAAAGGAGTGCGGAATATGTGAATATTTTTTTTAGGGTTTTCAAACCAAATTTTTCTTTAGAGATTACAATAAGCTACAGAAAACCAGTCTGTATCTTGATATAAGGTGTATACAGAAAGAAGGGATGAAGTTTTTGGCAAGCAACTCTTGTTTGAAATTGCGGCGAAATTAAATTTAAGGCGACGTCGTGACCCCTTTTATATATTTTTTCTTTCGTGGATTTTTCAATCTGCAATGCATTTGCATTCGGCCATTTTAATGAACAAAATTAGATTTCTTAATACATGTATTTACGGTCATTATGCACATGTATGTTCAAAATAACTCCCCTTTAAGGAAATAATTAATTTAATCAATTTTAAATTCATTTAAAGCGCGTTTTAATTACCGTTACATGTAGTTGTAACTCTAAATTTCTGTCTTTTAATTTATGTTATTCGGGGTTCTTAAATTTTGAAGTTGAAAAATTTTATTTAATAGTTGTATTTATATGCAGTATTTTTTTAATATATATAAAAAAAAAATTATTGTCCTGGATGTGGTATTATCATATTTATAAGCCGAACTTCTAGCAAAATTAAGACTTTAATTTAACGTTAACCATTTGACACAATAAGCCATTCAATAAATTAAATTTTTTTGAAAACATATGTTCAAGTTAACTCAACGTAATTCGATGGATATTGGTCAGCATTATAATATGACTCGTGATTATTTCAATTAAGCAGGGTATTTTTCTAGTGAACATATAATTCTGGCCAGCAAATGTGACAAAATTCTATAATTTGGCCAGATACACATGTATATGCATATTGTTGATATAGCAAAAGAATGATACCTCGGATATTTTGAGTTCAGGTGACGAAGATAATATTTTTTTATTATTTATAATTATCAAAACATGTTGATGGCTTGTTGTGTCTTCGACTATATTGAAAATGCGAAATACTGGCTCAACTCTCCAAATTGCGTAAAATGATATCTTCAGCGGATCACATTATTATCGTTATTACGATACGATAATTTTTAATTCTATTTAAAGTCTTAATTTGGTCACAGTTAAGAAATAACAATGAACAGAAGAGATATAGAAAAGTTTTATTTTTATGGGAATCTCTTAGGAATGGTACTTTGTTACATGTATAAACTCATGGGTAATGTTTATTAGTGGACATACCGGATTGTTTCTTGTATAAACGCTCTAGTAAGTGTGTTAATTTCAAACAGGAGATCGGGATGCCTATTTCTAATAACAAGATTCGAAAGTCAAGAGCGTCTAGACACAAAATTGGCCACTTTGTAATTTCGACAATTTTTTAATTAAATTCACCTACTATTTGTCTCAACCTTTTTCTACTTTATTATCAATCAAGTATTTGAGAAAAAAGTATGTACCGCTACATTTACATGTAAAACATCCATGATACGTAAATGCATTAAAGTGTCTTATTGTATGCACAAATTAGAATTTATTCAAATATCACAACTCGATCGT